GTCCCGACTGCTTGCTGGCAATCTCGCATCGTCTTTCCAGCTCCTGGATCCGGATGGTGCTTCCATAGTCTTCTTGGTTAAGATTCGCCATTGCTGCCGACATTTCATCAAGTGTCTTTTGATATTCCCCGATCTCCACCTCCATCTTATTCTTCTCTTTGATCGCGGCGCGAAACTCCGCACTGGTGGGTGATTTTGACCTCCCACCCTTCGATGTTGATCTCACGCCTTTCTGCGACGTCCGTGGTGTCGCAGGCGAAGATGACGATCTTCTCGGTGGGGATTCTCTTTGCTTCGACTCCTGATGAACATCGATCTGCTTCCATGATCTTGTGGGAGTGGATATGTCGCTGAATAGCGCGGATCCTCCGCTCCCAGGTTCATCCTGTGAATCTGCGATCATATCCATCACCGCAGGAAGAGCCATCAATCCATTGGATCCCTCTGAGCTGCTGTTCCCAAAAGTTGCAGTACTTGGGCTCGCTGAAGATGCCATTGTACTGTGTAGGTTATTGTTCCTTTATTGTCCCTGTACCCGCAATAAACCAGCTGTCTCTCTGTCCAGTGTAGAGCTTGTCGATACGGCTGATAACCTGTCAAGAGACGGCAAGGTGACGTCCCGTGGGACGCTGTGCACCGAACCCTCCAGCTGTAATACCAACCACGTAGAAAGGTGTATACGGACGGTGCCGTTATAGCCGAACCCGTGTAAACGTTGTAAGGGAGAAGGAATAATAGTTACAACAGTGGTCCTGACAAATGCAGCGCAAGCGAAGTGTTTTCCGCTCTCAATGCCGATCACGTGTGAATGCAGCTACACATCAGATCTTGAACCTCAATTGTGTCTTGAGCCAAATGGCGATCAATGGAACTTGGTAAGCAACACTAACACAGACCTCAGAACAGCTTCCCAATTTAGGCACGGGGCCTAGAGGGTTTTAACAGTAAACCTGACCTCGGACCGCGGGGTTGATGGCCGCGTGGGAACGGCCCAACAGCGCTGCAAATCTTCCCCAAACTGTTGGGCTGGACATGCAGCCGAACACAAGAACATCGTAAACCAAGATTCTGAGTTGACCATTGTGCTCAAAGGCGGCTGCTGTAAAAGCTTTGTCGGCCCCTATGGGCACATTATGAAAGGCATCTTTGATGTCGATCGCCAAAAAGCTTGGGGCGCCTCCTTGACGGAAAATATGGAGGGCGTCCTCAATGGCATCTTCCAGCTTTGGTAGGATGATTTGGTTGCACAACTTGTTGACGCCCGATTCCCGGAGGTCCCAAATTATCCTGGCTTTCCTTACTTCGCCCTGTTCTTTGACAAGTAACCCCAGCTTGTTCAGCACCAACTCCCTGCCAACACCTAACTCGGCCTCTGCGAGTGAGTTGTAGAGAGAGCAAAAGCCCTTGTTGATCGCGTCTTGAACTAGAGTTTGCAAGTCAGCACTATACTGGGATGCTGAGGGATGGTTGGCCCACCCTTGAATAGATCTTGCAAGACCACAGGCAGCCTCGTCTTCCCAACGCTGGGCTTTCACAGACGGAAAAATTCCGTTGGTGGGAATGGGCGAGGCAAAGCCTAGTGGCGCGCCCGCCCTGAGCCACGACGCCAATGTTTCGGCATCCGGATCACCTGAAAGCTGCCCCCACGCCCAAATGACATCAGCACTCAATGGCGTGTTTGCCTTGGCTGTGCGAATAAAGGGGCAACTCTTACCCCCCGTCAAGACTTTGAGGGAGAGGTCCCTAAGAGTGGAAACAAACTGTTCATCGAGTGGCTCAGCTTTCTGGGAAGACAGCATACAATCCACCAAACGGGTCGCTGAAGGGAACGCCGCCGCGTCGTACAATAGGAAAATATTGCAGACCCAACTGTAGCTGCATTGGGAATTTTAGCAGATGCGTCGAGGGGGTTCCTCATTCCACCAATGGCAAGTTTGTTTTCGATATCCCGTGACCGCTGAACAGGATCCACTAATCCCAGCGGCGGCGGGCTTCAGTGACTGGTTCCCGAGCGTAGCTTGGCTACTCGGTGCCCGTCCGTGGCAAGCATGCCCTTGGCAATGCGCTTGTTGAGCTCTGCTGGATACTCCGCCAAAGTCTGCGAGACCCTTTGGCGTTTGCCTGCGGAGGTTTCTCTCCAGCTTTGCCCGAAAGAATCATGCTTTGCATAATATTTGGAACCGTCGGGCCGTGTCCACTCTCTGGAGGAGGAATGATTACACCGCAAGCCCATGACGTCCATGAAATCATGACCATACTCCGCTAGCTTGGTGGGCCTGGTGACCTCCGCTCCAAATCGGCATTGGTCGAAGTTTGCCGTGGTGACCAGGGCATTCTTCAGCAAGGGCTGCAGCCACGACGTCTTCCAAATATCCAGCTTCTCGCCGCGGTCAGGGTTCTCTATCCAGAAAGCGCGCAAATGGTTTAGCTGCTCTTGCGCCACTGCGGCTGTCAACTCCACAAGACTGTTTGCATCTTTCAGTTGAGCCTGCTCTGGGTTCTCGCGGACTTTCCCATCTAGGAGGTCCACAGGTGGGTCCCTCTGGGTCGGCCGCCACCACGACCCAGCCATCGGAAGCCAACTGACAGGAGAGGTCATTTTCGGTGTCTGCCCGAGAAGAGCAGCAGCGCCCTTGGCTGGCCTGCCCATTGCTGCGGGTCGATGTTGGTCGCCCCGTATCGGAAGGCTGTCCATGACTGACTCTTGGGCAAGAAGCAGTCACCTGGCGTGGGCTTTGAGCAACCAGGGCCGGGATTCCCCCAATGCCAAACGCTCAGAAGCTGCGCCGGCACCGGAAGTCATCCGACGGGACGGAGGCGGGCCATCAGGTGATTTTGGCCGCCTTGACGGAGGCGGACCATCGGGTGATTTTGGCCGCTTTGCCTTCCATTCCACATCTGGCGCTGTCTCTGCTGTGAGTCTGGGCTCGGACCCCGACGACGCCGGAGAGGCCTCAGCATTTGTAGGCCTTCTCCTGGGAAGCGGAGATCTCGGAGTAGGCTTGACCTTGGCTGTGGTGAAGATCTTGGCCGGTGACATAGATGCGTCGGGTCCAGCTGTGGGATTGAGTCAGTTCCTCTGTCCTTTCTGCGTGCACGAAGAGGCCATGTGCGGTCCCAGGCAGAGATTGCACTGATGTGACCTGCCGGCCTTGCACTTGGACTGAGGCTTCCCATTCCCGCACCGCCCTTTCTGAAAGAGTTCGCAGATTTCAAGACCCTTCCTGCTGTGTGTATATATGCCCCTTCCTTTGTCAAAAATGGACTTGTTGTTGGCCTTGCCCTTCTTGCGGACCTTTGCGCCAAGCTTCGGGCCGCCGTCTGACGAGTCGGAGTCTTCTCTGGCTGGCAGGCTTTTGTTGCGGGCCAACAAAAGCGTGGCCGGGGTCTTGACCTCCTTCGACCAAAACTCTGCCTCGCGGATGGCCATGGCGAAGACAGCTGACCAAGGAGCCGCCTTGGTGTATCCAAACTGCGGGCTCTCATTGAGGGACCTGCGGATCCTGTCCATGAACTCGGTTCTCATTCTGACGTCGGCTCGGTAAATGATGCCCCAACAGTCATGGCCAAACTGGCTGTGGAGGTCCTTAATGAACTCCATGTAGCTCTCGAGCCGCTCACTGTCCACCACTCCCAATAACAACAGAGACACCCTGTATGTCTTGAAGCATCTCTCCCAGGCCTGAATGGAATCAGGGCCGGGCGTCTCCTTCTTTGACCATTCTCCAGTCGCAGCATTCAGCGTGTAGCTGGTGAATACGGCACGGCGAAGTTGCCGTAAGCCATGAGGGCCGAACACGCTGAAGTCGACATATGGCAAGGAATTGCTCTTGACCAGCTGGGAGATGGCCGCCAGTTGGTCCATGGTTGGCTCGACATCAAGGCTCGGATAATCCCCGAACTTGGCCTTGTAGTCGGAATACATCTTGGTCACTTCTTCATGCGATAGTTGGACGATCTCTGCATCCAGCGTGGGATCAACAACGCTTGAGAGCTTGAGCTTGCGAGTGGGCGCCGCGTTTGCCAGCCCGCCGCCACCACTTTGACAGGTTCCTGGAAAAGGTGTGGCCCCCACTGGCAAGACCTGTGGGCCCGAAGCCCCGGTGAGTCCGGCCGGGCGCCCAACCGAAGAAACACCGTCCTCCTGAAGATCTCGATCCTGGACTTGTCCACGGGGGTGAGCTCCCGCTCACTAGGCGTTCCATCCGCTGCCGTGACCGTCACCTTCAGGCCTGAGACTGCGGAGTCCCAGTCTGGCCTTGAGATGAAAGCAATGTCACGCAGCTTCGTAGGCCCGCCAAGGGCAGCTGTCAGAGCGGTCTGAATTTGCCCCGCGGTCCCTGCCCAGTTTCCCACATCATCCAGGGTGGACATACCATTGAGCTCATCCTCTGTCGGGTCCATGGACCCACAAGGCGGCGAGCAGGCTGGCCGGTGAAGGACTCCTTTGCTGCGCCTGTTCTTGGAGGGTCCGGCCAAAAGGACGCCCAAGAGGCTCTAGCGTCGGCGCTAAGGAGCCCTGGACTTGCCTTCAGGCCAGAATCCCCACCTAAGACCAGGGCCTTGCAGAAAGAAGTCTCACCAGCCTTCAGCCAAAATGGCATCGAAGGCAAGGTGAACCCACCCACATCTCCCCTCTCACTCCAAAGATTGTTACATTCACAACAAGCTGTTCCAATCTCTAAAGCCCTAGCAAAGGGCTCATCATCAGCCCCACCAACCCCAAGTGCACCAAAAAAACTAAAGGTGGGGTCCATTCCTACTTTGAGCCACACCCGTTTGGGTGTCAAATCAGGTCCCAAAAAACGGTGGGTTTCCCTGTTTGGTTTCCTTTTGGGACCTACCTGAACAGGGGACCGAGCTTCCCGAACTCACACACGCACACACACACACACACAGCCATGTGAATGTCCCTCAAAACACACAGGATTCAGACTCCTTGCGCTTGGTATGGGTTTTTTGGGGCCGCGGATTGGCAAGAATTGTCGCTTCCCGCCGGCCTCGGCGCAGGACTTGTCCAGCTGCTGCTGCGCCTTCACCGCCGCCACCAGCTCCGCGCGCTTGGCTTCCAGCTGCTCCCTGGGGGCAGTGCAGCTGGGGGCGTCCTTCGGAGCCCCTTGGGCCCTTCCGAAGTTCAGGTCCAAACGGCTCCAGGAGCCCAGTCTGGTTTTGACTTTTTCGGGGAACCCCAATTAAATTCTACAACCGGTGCAAATCCACCAATCCAAACCAAACAATTGGGGTTACCTGATGCTTGGTGCTTGTTCCTGGTCACCGATATTCTGGCTTCCGTGGATTTGCCTTTTTGGGGATTTTCCTTTGGCTTCGACCCGAGGGATTTCGGCTTTCCTCTGGTTTCGTTTTGGTCTTCTGTGTTTTGATTCTGGTTTCCTTGAAAAAGGAGCACATTAAAAGATATGTTCAAGGTTTTTGTCTCATTGAAGGACCCCCTTGGTCAGATTCCTTCGGGTTTTCTGAGAAAATCATTTGGGTACCTATATCCACCTCTTGTAATATCCATTCCCTTCTCTTTAGTCTGAAGGCTCTGGGAGATACAAAGAGAGAGAGAGAGAGAGAGAGAGAAAGAGAGAGCGAGTGTGTGAGAGGGATCGATCCAGTGCTCAGGGGGGGGCACCGCCAAGCCTCGAACAGCCTGATCTTCTATATATCTCTCTCTCTCTCTCTCTCTCTTCTCTATCTCTTCTCTATCTCTTCTCTAGACCAAAGCGGATCCAAGGGATGACCAGTTGGGGGAGCCACGGTGCGAGCCTGCCCATTCGACCACAAACGAAGAGTGGATGGCAACTTTGGAACCCAAACAAAACAGGGGGGCCAAGGCGCCGTAGGTCCCGGCGCTCTTGGAGCACCGCCTCCAGGAGCTCGCCTGGCAGCTTGGCGGATGGAAGTGAGCAACTCTGGTGTTTGGTTTTTGGGATTGCCATTTTTCCTGGTTTTGTTTTTCAGTTACCAGTTGTTTTTTGGATTGCCATGTTTTTTTCGTGGTTTTGGGAGGCACAACCATTTTTTTGGGATTGGTTTTTCTAGTGTCTTTTAGGAACTCATGCTCCGAAGGCAGGGTAAAGGACAACCGGACTTGGGAAGAAACCAAAACCGCGGCTTCTCCCTGTGCCCAACGGGGTGAGAAAGAACCAAACCCAAGCCAGTCGGGACCCGTGGAAAGCTCTCTATCCATAATGGCTTGAAAGGGAATAGCCTGCCAACCTACAGGTCTTTGCAGCGAAACGACGAGACTTGGCCCTCGAGTGGCAACAAAGCCTGGAAAAATGAGCCAACCCCAACTTCTCAAGGCGAAGGCTTTGAAACATCACCCAATGCCCAATTTGATGGCGACCCCTTCCCCAGTCTCCAGCCTGGCTCGGATGCCTCAGAGTTCACAGGCTCACTCTCAAGCGCTGGTTGGCTCCCTGGAGATTTTGACCTATGTGTTTGGCTGCAAGCTGAAAGTGCCAGTCTCAGCGCATTGAGAAAGCCACAGCCGAGCTATGTCCAAATCGGCCCGACATGCTCCACCGAGGAATCTACCCACGGCCTGGCCGTGACCCTCACCGCTTTGCCAAGTCGCCGGTGCCGTCTCTGAAGCCCGTGCCATGGCAAACCAAACCGCTTGGCCAGCTGCTTCGGCCAGCCGACCAGATACTGCTGTCTTATGTCATGCCTTTCCGGGGTGTGTTTGAACGCACAAAAACAATCCACCCTTCTGGTCCGGTATTGAGGCTGGCATACCCAGGCTCAGGTCATGGGAGCGCTGTGACATCAAATAGAGCCTAGCATCAACGGACTTTATAAAGAGGCCCTGCCCTTGAACACCACAGGCGAAGAAGCTGGGATGCGCTCTCAATTGCATCAATCAAAACCTGGTGTCAGAAGTAATCAAAAGGATCTACCTAAATCTACTCGGCTCAACAGGGCGGCTGTCAGGTTTTGATGGGCTCATTCAGCTTTGGGCTGGCGGCTTTTCTCCCATCACCACTGCCGCTATATATGTCATTCCGGGGCCAAGGGCCAAGCCGAGTCGGGTGAGGACCGGGGCTCACGGGAGGCCCAAACTCAGCACCGTCTGGCCCACCAGCTTCTTGAGCTTCGCCTCGCGCGGCACCTTGCGCGCTTCCAGGCGCTGCCGGCCTCGTCTCACCAACTGGCTGTGGGTAAAAAATAGGGTGACCCCAAATGGAACCCTGGTAAGCGGAACATGGACCAAAGCTTGCGGTCCCCTGGTGGATTAATTTTGACCCATACCCAGCTGAGTTTTCACTCCATTCCTCCTATTACTCCATGTTCATGAGGCCGGGACGCTCTGCCTGCTTCCTCCAGGCTGCGTCCACGCCTTTCTTTTGGCTCGCTCTACGGAATTCAATCCCAGTCTCCCAATCTGTGCGCCCCGCGCTCCGCAGCTTTGCACGCGGAGAGGGGGCGACTGAAGCCGACTCGGGTCTCCCGCAACACCTCTCACGGCTCTCGATGTGAGTTGCATTTCTGGGCTCGGGCGAGCAACACTCTACCAGCTCTTCAGTCATTGCTCCTGCCTGCACCCACGCGTTGCGCAGCTCAGGCCAACCGCGGAAGCCTCGCCCGGCGTTGGGTCATGCGGGACTTTGGTGAGCAAGCCTCTTTTCCTTCTGGCAACGCAAGTGTCCCCAAGGTCAACCACTTTTACCACGGGAGACGTACATATCGACCGCTCGTAAGTCCAAAGTGGAATGGGAGCAGCGCGAGCCGCACTGAGGCGCCGCCGCCAGGCCAGGGCCTGACATTCCGAAGAACTTTCCCTCGGCCCGCGCCGGTTTTCCGCCTGGCTGAGCGAGGCGGTGGTCGGGGACTCAAAGGCGCCCGCCACGGAGCCTGCGACGCACGTTGGGAACCAGAACCCTCCTCTGAAAAAATATCTCACATGGGATGGATGATCCATTTGAGTCAGAAACGAGACATGCTCGCGCATCACACCTTGGGCACGGTCTGCGTGTTGCGGGACTTTGAACTTGGGCAAGGGTTCTCTGCTGAGGCCAAAAAAGTGCATCCCCAGCGACCAACGACATAGACATGCGCGAGACAAGAAACCGCCAACCGCAGCAGTCCTGAACTCACGATGGTGGCATATGAGGGCCTGAGCTCGGCCTCCGTGAGGCCGGCCTCGACCTATCAAGAGAGATCGGTTTCTGGGCTCAAAGGCACTGACTCCAACCCATCACCCGACCATCCTTTTGGCTGTGTCTTTCTTCAGGGCATCCCCAAAATGCGGCTTTGCTTCCCCTTTTTCTTGGTCTCCCTTTCAAAAGGCACAAAACAAAAGAGGGACAAGAGCGCACAACAAGAAGCCTGGAATGAACACCCAGCCGTTGCCATTGCCGCAGCCCGTTTTCTGAGCCGCCCGCCAGCGCCACGTCCTTGGCCTGGCCGATCCGCTCCTCCAAGGAGTCGGCGCCGGGCCGCATGGCCAGCTGACCTTCACCAAGAGGGCGGTTCAAAGAAAACGAACCCCCCAAAAATGTGGCCCCACACATCTGGGCGGCTTTTCTCCCTTGTCCGAGAAAAGACACAAAATAAAAGATGGCACTCTCGAAAAAGGCTTGCTGGGCCCTGCGCACATCCGTGCCAGGGCAGCACGGAACTTGCCAGCCTGGCAAAAGCTCGGTGCATCACATACGCGTCATCCCTCTTTCTGACCTTGTGCGGGCATCGGGTGGTTGCCGATCTGACCTGCGTCGGGTTGATTCTGAACGGCACACGTTGAGAATCCGAGGCTGTGGCCAGAATCCTCCAGAAGCAGATTGTGGCTTGGAGAGCGCCCGGCCTCGCAATGGTCTCACTCCAAGTCGAGTCTCAGTGACGTGCCCCGGCCGCACGGTCCGAACACACCCATGCGGTGCCTGTCGCGAAAACGTGGGGAGTGATGCATTTTGAGTGACCAAGCGCCTGGGAGCGCGCACAGCGCAGGCCCGAGCATCGGCGTGAGCTGCGTGTGACCTAATCTCCAGCTGAGGCAGTTTGACGGCGCACTGCGCGTTGCAGAAACGAGCGCCTTGGTCACCTTGAGGGCCGGCTTCGGCTTGGCCTGCCCAGGTACCTCGGGGGAGTGAGAGGCTTTCCCGCCGGCGTCTAAGGCCACACCTGACAAAGCGTCATGAACTCCAAGAGCGCAGCCTGCACCACGCATATGAGGCCGCTTTTCAAGACTTGCAAGACTTGCCAAGCGGCGCGGCTGCTTGCTGGCATGTCCATGATCGCTTGGCGCCGGTTCAGCGGTTGCATCCTGCGCGCCACCGTTGCGTGCCGGAACCGGCTTTCTCAAACTCTAGCATCTAGCAGCGCCCTGGCGCCTCTGCAACAAGCTGGCCAACCTGAGATCGAGAGCGGGACAAAGCGACAAGCCTTTTCGCCAGCCTATGCAAACGGGCTTGCTGTGCCTGAGCAGAGAGGCGCATACGCAAGCTGTGCCAAATGTCTGCGCGACTGGGCCTTATGTCTCTTCATTTTGCCTCAGGGAGCTAGACTTTGAGGCCAGAAAATGACAGCTCTGCAACTTTGCTGGCTTCCAGTCTAAAGTTCTTACCAACCCCTACACATCTGCCAGCTGCCTTGGATTTCAAGCTCGTCGTCGCCGCCGCTCTTCTCGTCGTCGATGTCGGTCTGTTTGAACGCCAAATTTGAAAGACCCGCAACACCACTCAGCTCAGAACACAAAACAAGCAAGACCAGTGGCCATGGGTCAAAATCCCGTACCCCTAGTGAACATCCCAACCCCACCAAAATAGGTTCCAAAATGGGTGGTGCACCTACCCCAAATTGGGATCCCATAGGCTTTGACGCACGGCCAAGTGCCAAGAACAACGACGCCCAACTCCACCTCGTCGGCCCAGAGTTGAAAACATGGCCACGGTCTCGACGCCAGCAAAGAGCTCCAAGGCCTAAGCGAGACTCGGCGAGCCCCGTCGGCGACTCGCGTGGGTGCGACACATTCATCGCGCTGCTAGAGACCAAATGTATCCGGGGTCTGAGATAACTTTAACAAGCCAAAGGTCAAACCCAAAGAGCCAAGTAAAGAAAACCAACTCCAAAGACCTTACAATCCCGGAAACTGGGCTGTGCTGGCTTCAACTGAGGGGCAATGCGATGTTGTGCAGATCACAAGCCGTACCCGTTTCCTGTTTTGTCCCCCTGAGGCCGCGGCAGTCATTGCGACAGGGAAATGAAAAGTGGCCCCTTGAGGCCACTAGGTGTGAGCCAAAAGTCTGAAGTCAGCGCATTGCTCAAGCACGTTGCCCCCAATCGGCGGGTTCCTGAGATCCGCATTTTCTCTCCCAAAGGCCTACCTTCGAAACAGGCTGGAGCAAACCCGATAGGGCCATGTTGCTCACAGCCGATAAATGGCCCTGCCGCAAGAAAAAGCGTCCATCTTTGTGGCTGGCCCGCTGACACTTGTTGTGTCAGCCGCGCCGTCTCGCGGGAATCGCCAGGCCAAGCACCCTGCCAGGGAAGCATGTGCACGAATCTACACGCAAGAAACTGGCAAACAGCCACACAAAGAGCTCAGCTTGCGCATCATTTGCAGGTGCTGGCCACGTGATCACAATCCAGGCAGGCTTGAAATTGATTCCGGGAATGCAGGAAAGCTACCGTTGCGCGAAGAGCTACCCCTCCGAAAGCCCGCCCGAGCCCCAGGTAAACTTGGAGCAGCTCAGCAGTCCAAACGACTTGCCTTCCCAAGAGTTGGTCAGAAATTTTGTGAGTTCCATATCCAAACCAAATTAACTGGAGTAAGTCAGAGCTGGCCCTGCGAGGGCGTGGGTTGCGTAGAGCCCTGCAGCCGGATAATGTCCTCGCCAGCCAGTTTCTTGAAAGGCCCTAAAAGAGATCGTCCTTTTGGTTTCCCAGTAAAGAACCAGTCCTGTCCCCAAAAACTGCCACAAAACCTGCCAGGAATTTTTGAAACGCTTCCGCGTCTCCTCCATCAGCTGCCGCTGCTCGTTGGCCAGCTGCTGCTGTCGTACCGAGAGCCTCGCAGCTTTGTTTGGCTACAAAACCCACAGGAACAAGTTCAAACCAACGTGGCTGTGGGTCAAAACCAATGGTACCATTTTGGGGTAGTGCACCACCCATTTTAGTCTATTTTAGTGGGGACTGGGATGTTCACTGGAAGTACGGGATTTTGACCCATGGCCACGTGTTGGAAATCAACCAACTCCAACCATTTGATCATTTGGCGAGGTTGGCTTCAATCCCAAACCCAGCGCAAACCAAGGGTTCCCGAACATTTGGCTGAAGCCCGCGATTGGACGCCGTGGATCTTCGGATGAATCTGGATCGCAGAGTTTGGCACTTGTGCGGCGGCCATAATAGACTGTGGTCTTCAACTGTCGGCTTCCCTTACCAACTGAAAAGCCAGCCTCTAAAAAAACACTCATGTTCACCGACACATCCCTCTCCATTTCGGCCAAGGACTCTCGCAGCTGACTCAAGGTGCGCTGGTGCGTGAAGACCTGCTCCTATCGATCCAAGCAGGCAGGACCAAGTTGGGTGACCCGGATAAGTGGGTTCCTTTCGGAAGCATATGATGAGCCTGCGCAAGCTGAAACCCATCTACTAGAACCTGTTAAATGTCGGCAAAAACCCGTTGCAGCTTAACAAGGGCGAGGGACCTTTTACGAATCCGCAAAAGTTGAGGGAGCAACGCAGCGGATTGAACCCAGAAGCCACGAGGGCTCGCATGTCAATTGGTCAATGTCAAAAACGCCCAATCCAACTTTACCCACAGAAAGCACCGCAAAAAAATCATTTGGCTATGGGTCAAAATTAAACCACCAGGAGACCAGCAGGTTTTAGTCCATGTGTCCAACCAGTGTTCCATTTTGGGCAACTATTGTTGACCCACAGCCATTTCGGGGCTTCAAGTCGCAATCTTCGGTGGTGCCAAAGCTTCGAATCCTGCCTGGGCAAAGGCGAGCTGCATCCGCCGGCTGGACTCCAGCTGCTCAGACCTGCAGCAAAACCTTCGAAACCAACCTGAGCTTTAGATCTGCTCGTCTTTTTGTGGTTGAAAGGGACACCAAAAGAAACGCATGCTGGTCCATGAAAAAGAGACACCCCCAATAGCCTTCAGCTTTCGGCCCCACCAACAAACCGCGGCCAGCTTGGTTTGGCGATCCAAATATGCAAAAATCAGGCATGCAAAATGTCCCCAGTTTTCTGGCGGCTGACTTTGGCGAGTCGCCCTGTTCCGAATTGACCATGGACTGAGAAGCTTGAACAAACCTGCCCATGGAGGGCCAAAGTGAGATTCTCAGCTGGTCTCCTTCCGGGTACTAGCCCTCCAACGAAAAGGGACGTCCGTGTCTATGTCTCTACCCGCGGTCGCGCAAATTTTGGGGGCCCGGGCAGCAGCCTGCGCAAAGGTTCGGAACGGTCAGCGGTTGGGCAAGAAAGCGATCCAGAGAACTGATCTGTGCAAAGTTTCATCCGTGACTCCATAGTCGACATTGTTGAAGTGGGGACTCTTGTCCACCGACCACTTTTCGAAGGGCTCCCTATGAAAGTTCACAGTGTTGGAAAAGTCCCAGAGGCTTGACTTGTCCAAAGATCGAGGGTTTACTCTTTTCCGTAACCCAACGAAAAACGTCCCTCTTTCTTTTTTGGTCAAATGGCCTGGTCTGCGTCATTGTCCGAACCCAAACAACGGGCCATGAAAAACTCAAATTTTGGGCGACGGGCGTGTCGCGCACAGCGGCCAGGTGCTGCTGCTGGCTGCTGAGGGTCCGGATCAAAGTCCTTGAGGCCGACGGGTTTGCGACGCGGCCATTCGGCTGGAGCATGCTGAGTGCATCTCCCAAACAAGCTGCATCCACTGCGCGACCAAGCGTCCAGGTTCGGTCTGGCGGCTCTTGGCTGCGAACGGGTGAGTCCTGCATTTTTGCTCGCGGGGAAATTTTGGGCGGGGGAATGTGAGTGCTCCTGCCGTGCCTCAGGCTGTCTCCGGCTGTTCAACAGCCGCCGAAGCCACCTACACTTGGCTCCATCGGCGTTCGAAACCCATGAAGCGATCTGCACGAAACTTGACGTGCCTGAGCAAGCCGGAATCCGGATATGCCTGGCTGGTGAAGGCACCGAACCCAGTGGCCAATTTCTTGGCGCCGCACGGAGCGAGGCTCCTCTGCCTACCAGACAGCATTAGCGCCACTTTCACGTGACACATGCTTCCCGCCTCCGGGCTCTGGCTTGGGCTCGGGCTTAGTCTCGGGCTTGCGCTCACCTTCGAAACTCCTCTCCGTCAACATCGCAAATTGCTGAAGAACAAACTTCTGCGGTATCAGAAGGACTCTGTAAAAGCTGGCCCTCTTACTTCTTCGCTTTCCTCGTATCCTGCACATCTATTTTCCGTCTGACCTTAAGAACTCCGTATCTTGACGGTCACTGAGTCGATATCCCTCCCACCCTTGAATCAAATGTAGCAGGCAGCACCCGATCTTCTCCTTGTTGGGGGGCCAAAGCTTCTCTGGCTTTTTGGCAAGGGCCCCCGCAGGCTGGATGTTACTCGGCGTGCCGAACTGGTGCTGGCGTAAACTCCTTGGCGCCCGAAACCCAAACAAGAGCCATCAAAATCGGGTGAAGGGACCACAAACTCATAGGAAAGATCTTGTGAAGGGCTGCGTTGGGCATTTAGTCATTTGTTTTGCCAAAAGGCTGGCTGTTGCCGCATTTCTGGAAACAAACTGTCCAAAGGCCATTTACACCAAAAATCCACCCTGGCATACTTCCAACCAGCGCCCGAACAGCTGTTGGGCATCATCAAAGTACCTGGTTTCGATAGGAATCCGCCGACCCCTTCTCCTCAAAGGGGGAGGCGTACGGGAAGGGCGGTTACAAGTCCAAGGCTGGCTGGTAAATGAGCAGAACCGAAGATTCAACATCATCATCATCATCATCATCATCATCATCATCGGCGTGGTGGTCGTCGCCGCTGTCCTTATCTTGATTATCATGATGTCAGCTGGTGATGCTGAGGATGCGTCATGATGATTATCATGTCAGTTCATCATCATCATCATCATCATCACGGTGCTCATCATCATCAGCTTCTTCGTCATCGTTCTTATCTTTTTTATATACGTTTCCAGTGCCCCGTTAGACCCGATTCGAGATGCAGAAGATGCGCGGACATGATTATCATGATGACTGCTGGTGCTGCTGAGGATGCGTCATGATGATTATCATGTCAGTTCATCATCATCATCATCAGCATCATCATCACGGTGCTCATCATCATCATCTTTTTTGTTATCGTCCTTATCTTTTTTTATATACGTTTCAAGTGTCCCGTTAGACCCGATTTGAGATGCAGAAGATGCGTGGACATGATTATCATGATGACTGCTGGTGATGCTGAGGATGCGTCATGATGATTATCATGTCATTCATCATCATCATCATCAGCATCATCACGGTGCTTATCATCATCATCTTCTTCGTCATCGTCCTTATCTGTTTTTAATATACGTTTCAAGTGTCCCGTTAGACCCGATTTGAGATGCAGAAGATGCGCGGACATGATTATCATGATGACTGCTGGTGATGCTGAGGATGCGTCATGATGATTATCATGTCAGTTGGTGTTCATCATCATCATCTTCTTCGTCATCGTCCTTATCTTTTTTAATATACGTTTCAAGTGTCCCGTTAGACCCGATTTGAGATGCAGAAGATGCGTGGACATGATTATCATGATGACTGCTGGTGATGCTGAGGATGCGTCATGATGATTATCATGTCAGTTCATCATCATCATCAGCATCATCACGGTGCTCATCATCATCAGCTTCTTCGTCATCGTCCTTATCTTTTTTTTATATACGTTTCAAGTGTCCCGTTAGACCCGATTTGAGATGCAGAAGATGCGCGGACATGATTATCATGATGACTGCTGGTGATGCTGAGGATGCGTCATGATGATTATCATGTCAGTTCATCATCATCATCATCATCATCATCATCATCATCACGGTGCTCATCATCATCAGCTTCTTCGTCATCGTCCTTATCTTTTTTTATGTACGTTTCAAGTGTCCCGTTAGACCCGATTTGAGATGCAGAAGATGCGTGCACATGATTATCATGATGACTGCTGGTGATGCTGAGGATGCGTCATGATGATTATCATGTCAGTTCATCATCATCATCATCATCAGCATCATCACGGTGCTTATCATCATCATCTTCTTCGTTATCGTCCTTATCTTTTTTTA